AGCCTTAAAAGGAAGGGAATTCTGACATATGTTATGAGATCTCTGAAACTTAAAAGCATTATGCTATGCAAAATAAGCTGGCCACAAAAGGAAAAACATTGAATGATTCCACCTAGAGTAATCAAATTCATAGAGATAGAAAGTAGAATGGTGATTGTCAGGAGGTTGGGGAGGGGGGAATTGGAAGTTAATATTTAATCGATATGAACTTTCAGATTGGGAAATGAAAATGTTCTGAAGAAGAATGGTAGTGATAACTACACAACAATGTGAATGTATTTGATGCCACTGAACTGTACAGTTATAAACAGTTAAAATGGCAAACTTTATGTTATGTACTAGTATATTTTATCACACACTCAGAACATTTGCCCATCAGAAGAGTCCCAACCCTGGTATCCCTGTTGTGCTTAATTATGGGCTGAGAGAAGCCAAGAGGAAGCATGGCCTTGGTATGGATGCTGTGATGAAACCCCAGGTCAGTGAACTCAGTTTGCTGTCACAGTTCTCTCAAAGGGAAATGTGAGCAGTGCATCTGCATTGCTGCCTTCACTATGCAGTGCCTCAATCGTCTGTGTTTCAGGTCCCACCTCTAACACTTTCTGACTCTGAGACTATGGAAAAATGATTCAACTTCCCTGGGCCTTAGTTTCTTTACCTAGAATCAGGGGTGTTGATGTTGGTAGCTATCTTATAGGGCGTCACATAAATGCATTGTAAAGTACTTAGAACATTACCTGTCATAAAGTATACTGTTTATAAGAGTTTGCTAGAATCATCATGAAGCATATTTTTTCATGTAGGCAGCATGATAATGCTTCACAGAGACTACTTCAGAAGAGCTTCCCAACAATCCTAAGGCAATAATCTCTCCATTTACAGATGGGGAAACTGAGGCTTGGTGAGACCACATAGTTAGTAAGAAATCACAGGTGGTCCAATGGGAGAGTCCGGGTCAACCGCTAGGCAATGCTGCATTCTAATCAGCCCTTTACCTGTGGTGCTGACTCTGGCTTCATTGTAAGATAAGGGTTCCCTCCCAACCCTTGTCTTCAAGGATAGCATCTTCATTATCATCACTGTAAAAAATGCCGTCATCTTCATCATCAGCGTTATCCAAAGGGACTTTATTAAAAGCATCTAATTAAACATTCTGCTGTTCTGTATTTTAGACAATAATGATTTATATTTCTAGTAGCTTAATAAGTAAAGCTTGGATGAGCATGCTAAGGTCTCCCAAATAGTAGAATAAAGGCAAAGCTATGGAGCAGTTCACTCCTAGTGGTGTCTCCTTGGGCAGGCTGCTGGACGTCTGTGATCCTCACTCGTTGGATGAAACCTACTTTCCTTCCCCCAAGACCCTAGTGAGACAGTTTGAGGACATTCCTAGTGAGTGGGAAGGACTGCACAAACTTTAGCTAGCATTTCTCCCAGGCCTCCTTGATTGATCCTGCCAGAGGTGATAGGGAGAGTATGCCTGTACTTCTCCCCCATGAATTAACAGCTATTGCCCACTTGGAAGTACATGGATGGTGAGATACAAGGTTTTCTTGGCCATACCCACCTACTTTTCTTCTTAGTTATCAGAATTCAATAGGGTGTTATTTTCCTGGTTTGGCCCATACTGAAGGAGCTGTCTCTCTGTAGTTCTAGATTTTATGACAACCCCTCCTACCACTTCCATTAAAATGCCATAGCTTCCTAGTCTATCTTTCTCTGAACCATATTTTTCTATCTAGTCAATAAACAAACATTGTTTTTCAAATTCATGACTCCTGCCATCTTGGGCTGGGATTTGGGCGGTGGGGAGGCAGTAAAAGGGTAGCCAATGTCTTTTGCTAAACTGGCTGTTGCTCAACCCAGAAAATCTTAAAAAAGATTTATCTGAGGGCATAAAGCCCATTTTCCATAGGATCTTCTCTGTTAAAGTGTGACCTGTTGTGGGGCCTCAGCTCAGTTTCCTCTCTGTATCCAGAGAAGTTTCTAATATTCCATCTTGCCTGGTTATGCTCTTGTTTGACATTGTTTAGAAGTTCCTTGCTGTCCCCAGAATGAAGTTTAAAACAATTTATTAGCCTGGCATGATTCTAATCCTAATCACTCCTCCATTCTTTCTCATCTCCTTGTGCCAACTGTAATGAACACCTTGCTTTCCCCCAGAATTCACTATGTTCTGTTGCCTCCATGCCTTCGCACAAACTGTTCCCTTGTTCTGGAATGCCTTCCCTTCCCCTCCCTACACCTAGCTAACTCCTACTTGTATTTCTTTCTTTCTTTCTTTCTTTCTTTCTTTCTTTCTTTCTTTCTTTCTTTCTTTCTTTCTTTCTTTCTTTCTTTCTTTCTTTCTTTCTTTCTTTCTTTCTTTTCCTACTTGTCTTTCAGGCTTCAGCTTAGATGTCAGAAAGTCTTTTCTGACCCACAGAGCTAGGGCTGGGGCTCAGTAGGCTCATACCACTATTCCCCTTCTGTCTGTCTGTCTATCTATCTATCTATCTATCTATCTATCTATCTATCTATCTATCTGAGCTTTATTGAGGAATAACTAAAAAACTTCCTATCCTTTAAAAAAAACACACAACACTAACTACTTACCTGTAGCTCATCCTTCAGGTCTCCTGAGTCCTCCCACACTATACCAGGCTCCCCTCTTACACATTCTCACATTATTTTCCATTCATAGTTCATATCACAAAGAATAATGATAGGTCTGGGATAGTATTTAATTAATGCCTGTCTCCTCCACTAATCTGTAAACACCATGGGGATATGTACCTTGTCTGTTTAGCTCACCACTGCATCCCAAGAGCTTGGCACATAAATATTTACTAAATGAATGAATGAATGAATTCCTCCCACAACACATGGAGATTGCTTCCAGCATAGCACTTAGTTCATTATTTTATAAGAGCCGACATACTTCTGTCTCTCTCCAGCTGTCTTGTAAGCTCCTTGAGGGGAAGAAAGATGTTTTGCCCATCATGATTTCCCAGTGCTTGGCACACTGCCTGGCAATTAGGCACTCAAATAATATTTTTGAATAGATGAATAAATGAATGAATGAATGGCAAGCACTCACGTTCCCTTATACTTCATTCCTACTGCAGCAAAGTAACCTTTTAAAAATGCAAATAAGATCATGTTAACTCCACTGATTAATCCCCCAGGGCTTTAAGGATATCCCAAACTCCATACTTCCTACCTGCTTTTCTGACCTCATCAAGTACTACTCTTTTCCTCACTTACTGCCTCTCAGCACACTGGCCTTCCTTCTGTTCTTTGAATATACCAGGCTTATTCCTACCCGAGGGCCTTTTCACTTGCTATTTCCTACTCTGGGATATTCTGCCCCATCACAGAGCTCATTCTAGTCATTTAAGTCTCAGCTCAAACATCACCTTTTCAGTGAAGTCTTTCCTTACCCCTCTACCTAAATGATCATGCCTCCTTCCTTTCACTCTTAGCACTTATGCCTATCTGAAATCATATTGTTCACTTAATTTTTTCTTACTATTTCCTCTTTCTAGAATGTAAGTTTCATGAGGGCTGCCCACTATTTTATTGCTAGAGTCTAATACAATGAATGTCACATAGTAGGTGTTCCAAAAATATTTGTTGAATGAGCAAATAAATGGATGAACAAATGAATATGACAATAGCCTTCTGTGATGGATGGGCTGGTCTTGCCAGACTCACAGGCAGACAGAAGAACGATTTATTGTGATTAAATAAATTAAGAAGCAGGACTCGTCAGAACCGATGAAGGGAGCCAGGATGGAATATTGTGCCAGATTCACTGTGAGCTTTTGGAGTCCAGGAGTCCCAGGGCCTATTCAGCTCTGACTCCAATCAACCCAGAATCAAATTCACCCAGGGTAAACCAAAAACAAAGATGGCACCAACTTCCACTTTTCTTCTGTCTTCAGAATGCCCATATGGGGATGTAAGGGCCATGTAAAAATTCCTGAATGGTATATCTCTCTGCTGTGTTCCAACAGGTTGTCTTTTTCTCAAAAGTTTCTTGGAATCGCCGAAACCAGTTTGGCTCAGTGGTAGAGTGTCGGTCTGCGGACTGAAGGGTCCCGGGTTCGATTCCGGTCAAGGGCATGTACCTTGGTTGCGGGCACATTCTCGGTAGGGGGTGTGCAAGAGGCAGCTGGTCAATGTTACTCTCTCATCGACGTTTCTAGCTCTCTATCTCTCTCCCTTCCTCTCTGTAAAAAATCAATAAAATATACTTTTAAAAAAAGTTTCTTGGAATTTAGAAAAATTGTTATGCAACAGAAGCAATCAATGAAGACAAATCATTCATTTACCAATACATCTGAGATTTAAATGGTATTAAATTAAGTTTATATTACAATGTAACAATTATTATTTTGATAGCACTTACTATATGCCTAAAAAAATATAAAAATGCCAGACAAAAAAGGAATTTTTAGAATGGTGAATACAAAGAATCAGGTTTCCATAATAAAGCCTACTGATACTTTAAAGAGAAGAATAAAGCACAATCCCGTTCCTCCAGCCTCCTTCCTTTTAAAAATATTTCTTTTTTAGATATAATGTTGCTTGGTTGACATAATCTAACTTTTCTCCTTTTAGGTTCTCTTTCTCCACTGTTATCAACAAAAATATGAGCATGAAAGGGGCGGGAAGTGTTTGTTTTTGTGTACATATCTTTGATCATATGAGAAAGAAAAGAATTATGAACACCTACTACTGATTGGTTTTAAGAACTACGTGTTGAGATGCTTCCTCTGATTACTGAAGACCATTCTCAGCAATCAGACTGTGGACATCCCAGAAAATGAGGACATCACTCTGAAGGGGTGCACGGTTATTGTGAAGCTCCCCAGAGGCACCCTGCGGAGGGACTTCAACCACATCCATGTAGATAGAGCTGTCTCCTCAGAAAGAAAAAGAAGAGGCTCCGGTTGACAAATGGGGGAAATAGAAAGGAACTGGCCACAGTTCGCACTATCTGCAGTCATGTACAGAACATGATCAAGGGTGTTACACTGGGCTTCCGTTACAAGATGAGGTCTGTGTGCGCTCACTTCCCCATCAATGTCGTTATTCAGGAGAATGGTTCTCTTGTTGACATTAGAAATTTCTTGGGCGAAAAATACATCTGCAGAGTTCGAATGAGGTCAGGCATTGCTTGTTCAGTATCTCAAGCCCAGAAAGATGAGTTGATTCTTGAAGGAAATGACATTGAACTTGTATCAAATTCAGCTGCTTTGATTCAGCAAGCCACAACAGTTAAAAACAAGCATATCAGAAAATTCTTGGATGGTATCTATGTTTCTGAAAAAGAAACAGTTCAGCAGGCTGATGAATAAGATCTAAGTTGTCCGGCTTTAGAAATACCAAGATGCCGAATGATTTGTCACACTTGTTTGTGAAACTAAAGATGTACAATAAAAGCCTTGTATTGAAAAAAAAAGAAAAAAAGAAAAAAAAAGAACTACATGTTGATTTCATTTTCTCTAGGGAAGAAGAATAACATGAATAAGAAACCCTTACACATTTTCATAAATGTCAAGGGCCTTAGGTTCTTCTTCTTCTTCTTCTTCTTCTTCTTCTTCTTCTTCTTCTTCTTCTTCTTCTTCTTCTTTTTTAATTGATTTCAAAGAGTAAGGGAGAGGGAGAGAGAGACAGAAACATCAATGATGAGAGAGAATCATTGATTAGCTGCCTCCTGCACGCCCCACACTGGGGATTGAACTCAGGCATGTGCCCTGATCAAGAATTGAAGCGTGACCTTCTGGTTCTTAGGTCGATGCTCAACCACTGAGCCATGCAGGGTGGATTAAGTTTGGTTCTTTTATTTAAAACTTAACTCATTGGTTAAAATCAATGGCATTCTCTATTAGAAGAGGCCTGGAAGGGAACTAAGCCTCTCTCCATCCTACTCCTCCCTCCACGCCAAAAAATCCCAATTAACCCCACTTGTCAAACTGCTTAAGGCTGTGCAAAAAGACAAAGTCTATACAGCATAAACCAGACATTTAAATTATTTCAGTCATGGTATAGTTTTGACAGGGAAACTATTTTAAATGCGGCTTTTTCAATGAAGATTTTCAGAAAGCCATTGACATTTCAGAGGCTAAGTGGGGGTGGTGAAGAGCCTGGCCCTGAATTCTAGCAGATCTAGGTTCCAGCACTGCCACAAACTCCAGTGTGACCCGAGCTTGTTTTTGCATTTACAGGATGAAGAATGCAATAGTAACTACCTTAGGATTGGTAAAAGGCTTGGATAAAATGTAGTTCTTAGCACAGAGCCTGGCATGTACCAAAAACTTAATAACTATGAGCTATTATTACTTTTAGTCACTGAGTGTTAAAATAATATTGTATGAGCAGGTGAATTAATGAGTGAGTGGTAAATATATTTTACTTTGTTTTCAGGCTCAAGCTTAGAGTAGGTATCAGTGATTCTCAACTCTGGTTGCACATTAGGATCACCCAGGAATGCTAAGATTTTAAATATATATTTTATTGATTTTTTACAGAGAGGAAGGGAGAGAGAGAGAGAGAAAGCTAGAAATGTCGATGAGAGAGAAAAACATCGACCAGCTGCCTCTTGCACACCCCCTACCGGGGATGTGCCCGCAACCAGGGTACATGCCCTTGACCGGAATCGAACCTGGGACCTTTCAATCCGCAGACCGATGCTCTACTACTGAGCCAAACCGGTTTCAGCTAGGGATGCTAAGATTTTAAAAATTCTTAGTCCCTAACCAAAAGCATTACTCCAATACTCCAAGGTTGGGGTTCGATCCCCACATAGGACACATACAAGAATCAACCAATGGCCTTAGCTGGTTTGGCTCAGTGGATAGAGTTTCAGCTTGTGGACTGAAGGGTCCCAGGTTTGATTCCAGTCAAGGGCACATGCCTGGGTTGAAGGCTTGATCTCCAGTAGGGGGCCTACAGGAGGCAGTTAATCAATGATTTTCTCCATCGTTGATGTTTCTATCACTCTCTTTCCTCTCCTTTCCTCTCTGAAATCAATAAAAATGTATTTAAAAAAAACTCCTGAAGATTGCACATAAAATTTCTAAAAATAAATAAATAAATAAATAAATAAATAAAATCAACCAATGAATGCATAAATAAATGGAACAAAAAAAATATGGATGTATTTCTCTCTCCTCCCTTCCTCTTTTTTTAAAATCAATAATTTTTTAAAAATACCTAGTCCCTAGTTAACAACAATTAAAAGGAACCTCTGGGGGTGGTCTCTGAATATCATATTTTAACAAGAGGCCCAATGCATGAAACTCATGCATGGGTAGGGTCCCTAGGCATGGCTGGCACTCAGGGTCAATTTGGGCCTTCCGGCTGCTGGCCATGGCCTTCCTTCCCTGAGTTTCTGGGAAAGATAATATAAATTTTATTCAGAGTTAGATGGGAAGAACTGGAAGGTTTTGAACAGATGATATGTTTTAAATGGCTCAGCTGCTATGAGAGAAAAGCATTAAAACAAATATGTATTCATTGTTTAAACATAAAAGGAATATTATGTGTATTGCTTTACAATCTGCTTTTTTTCAAAGTGAATTTTAGAAAAACAAAATATGGTCATGTTATTTCTTTGTTTAAAATTCTTTGTGGTTTTCCCTCACAATGAAGTCTAAAGCCTTACAAAACCCTGTCTAGTGTGGCCTCTGCCAACCTCATCAGCTCCTGAATTACAGAACTTCTTTTCATAGATTGGGACTCAAGGCCTTCAAATGTGCTTATCAAGAATAGAATCCTTTCCTTCCCTCCATACCCACCTTGTCAATGGCTTTTCTAGATCCCATTTACTAATTTTTTTATTCATTTAACTAATATTGGTTGAGAGACCTGCTAATGTGCCAGGACTATTCTAGGCACCAGGGACATAGCACTGAACAAAACAGACAAGAATTCTAACTCTTATGGGTCTTAAATTCTAGTGGGACAGACAGAACACAATAAGTTAAAAATATGACATATACATATTTATATATACATATGACTATCCTATATAATAAAAGCCTAATATGCTAAGTGTCTGGTCATCCATTCAACCAATCAAAGTGTAATATGCTAATGATATGCTAAGGCTGCTCAACTGCTCGCTATGACATGCACTGATCACCAGGGAGCAGACACTCCAACTGGTAGGTTAGCTTGCTGCTGGGGTCTGGCCAATGGATGGGATCCCTTGGCCTGGCTTGCACCTTCTCGAAATCCAGGATCCCCTCGGGGGATGTCAGCGAGCTGGTTTTGGCCCGGTCCCACAGGCCAGGCAGAGGGACCCCACTGGTGCAGAAATTAATGCACTGGGCCTCTAGTAAATATACATAATGACTTTATATGTCATATGGTGATACACCCTAAGGAGAATATAAAGCAAGTAAGGAGGGATGAGATGTGGGAGGAATGGGTTACAATTCTAGATAGGGTGGCCAAGAGGAAGCCTCACTGAGAAAGCGACAGCTGAGTAAAGACCTGGGGGAGGTGAGAGAGTGAGTCAGGCAGCTATTTGGAGTCAGACAGCATTCTAAGCAGAAGGTAAAGGCCCCAAGTAAGAGCCTGCCTGCTGTGTTCCAGGAATAGTAAAGAGGCCAGTATGTCAGAAAACTGTGTAGGGGGCAGGTGAGCTCTTGAGGCCCTTATACGGACCTGGACATTTACTGAGACAAGAGTCATTGGAGGGATTTGGGCAGAGTAGGAGTGACATGTTCTGATTTCCATTTTAATAGGATCTTCCCAGTTGTTGAACTGAGATTAGACTGCGGGAAGCAAGGGCAGAAGTGGGAAGATCAGTTAGGAGGTGTCTGTGAAATTCAAGCTAAGTGATGGATACGGATTGATTCAGGATGGTAACCCAAGAGATGGTAAAAAGTTGGTGGATTCTGAATATATTTTGAAGGTAGAAGCACAGAATGTCCTGAGAAATCAGACATAAAATGTGTGAGAGAATCAAAACTTTGGATAACTTCAAAGTTTTTTCCCTAAATAAGTAGGAGAACTGAGTTGCCATTTAATGAAATAAGGAAACTGTGGAATTAGCAAATTTAAACAGAGATATCAGGAAATCAGTTTTGGACTTATAGACACACAAAGTGTGAGATGCCTAGATGTATATTGGATATCCAAGTGGGAGGAACCAAGTCAGGAGCTGGATAAGGGAGTTCAGAATTCAGGGGAAAGGTTCAGGTGGAGATATGAACATGAGATAGAGACTGGATGAGATGGCAGACAGAAAAAGAGTTCCAGGGATGGAGTGTGGGACATTCTAGCAGCTGTTTTAAACTTTTAAATCTCAAGATCCTTTAATACTCTTAAAAATTTTAGAGGATCTCTGCCAAAACCGGTTTGGCTCAGTGGACAGAGCGTCGGCCTACAGACTGAAAGGTCCCAGGTTCAATTCTGGTCAAGGGCATGTACCTTGGTTGCGGGCACATCCTCAGTAGGGGGTGTGCAAGAGGCAGCTGATCGATGTTTCTAACTCTCTATCCCTCTCCCTTCCTCTCTGTATAAAATCAATAAAATATATTAAAAAAAAATTTTTTTTAGAGGATCTCAAAGAGCTTTTATTAATGTGAGTTTATCTATCAATGTTTACTATATTATTACATGTTATCATACAACATTTTAAAAAGAAAACAATGTTTTATAAAATAAAATAAAATTGAGGAATATCATTGCTTTGTATTTTTGTGAATCTCTTTAATGTCTCATTTAATAAAAAAGTAGCTGGTTTCTTGTATTTGCTTCTGCATTTCATGTGATGTGATATCATATATCATGTAGCTTGTGGGAATACTCTAATGTGTTACCATGAAAGATTGAAAAAGGCAACTGATATTTTAGTATTTTTACAAAAATAGTTTTTACCTTTCTACCCCCTGAAAAGATCTCTGGAGTCCTCAGACTGCACTTTGAGAACTGCTGCTCTACCTTTGCAGGTGGGGAGGATTAAGGAGACTAAGAAATTGCAATGGGGGAGGTTGGTGGAAAGTCAGAATGTGCCTTGGCAGCCCAGTGAAGTTAGCATTTCAAGGAGGAGAGTGTTCAAATGAAGCAAACCATGGGCAGAGACTGACCACTAGATTTGGCATCATGGAGGTTATTCGGGATGTTGATAAAAGCAGCTTTGGTGGAGAGATGAGTATTAACATCTAAATGGAGTGGGTCAGAGCATAAAGGTCACTTCCTCATGTCACTGAACCCTAGATCAGGTTAACTCCCCCTGAAATCTACTTGCATCTCTCCCCTATCTCCACTTTGACCTTCTTTTTTAGTTTATCAGGGAACAAGTCAGTTGTATTCACTTCTGTTTCCCCAGCAAGTGCCTTGGACA